TGTGAATTTGAGGGGAGAGAAAGGGGAAAAATTGAAGGGGATGGGGAAGAAAAGGGAAAAACTCAAAGGAGAGGTGAGGTGAAGAACTGGGGGGTGGGGGAGAAAGGGGGAAGAACGTAGGGGTGAGGGAGAACTCTAAGAGTGGGGGAGGAACTCTAGAAGTGAGGGGAGGAGGGGGGGGGGACTCTAGGGTGAGGGGAATAAAAGGGGAGAAAATTGAAGGGGTGAGGGGGAAAGGTTTGTGGTAATTTTAGGAGGTGAGGAGAAGGCTGGAGAAACAGTGTAAGGGTTAATGGAGGGCTTGATGGGGCGTTTGTGGTATTGTGAGTGAGGGAGAGGACGTGAATGTAATGAGGGAGAGGAAGGGAAGGGAGAAGGGAAGGGGGGTAAGAGAGGGGTGGAGAGGGGAGGGAGGGAGGGTAGGAGAGGAGGAGGAAAGAGGGGGAGGGGAGGTAGGGAGAGGAGGGAGGGGAGAGATGGAGGGGGGGTAGGAGAGGAGGAGGGAGAGGGATGGGGGAGGGAGGGAGGAAGAGAGGGGAGGGGGAGTGGAAAGAGGAGAAAGAGAGGAGGGGGTAAGAGGAGGGGTGGTGAAGGAAGGGAGAGGAGGAGGAGGGGAAGGGAAGGAGATAAGCCAAATAAAGGATTATAGAGAGAAAGAGAAGGAAAGCAGTAGAAAGTGAGAGTAGGAGAGAAAGAGAGAGAGAGGGAGAAAAAGAGAAAGAGAGAGAGGGAAAGGGGAAGGGAGAGACGAAATGTTAAAAAGCCAAAACTTCCAGAAAAAAGAATATTTAAATGTTAGCAAAAGGGATCACAGCCGAGAGAGAGAGAGAGAGCGAATGAGGATGTGCATGAAACAAAAAAAAAAAAAAAACAAGAAATAAAAATGAGGTAAGTGTTAAAGTGTCAAGGAGGAGATTAAATATGCAAAACACCAGAATAAAAATCTAATTAAATCCTGTAAGAAGCTAATACCACAAAAAAGGAAAAGATGAAGAGGAAAAGGATTAAGATTACTTTGTAAAAATGAATGGATTGACAATTCGATAAATGAGTAAATGAAGTAAGTATATGAATTGGTGTGATAAAAAGGGATTAAAGAGAGAGATTGAGAGAGAGAAGAGAAGAGAGAGAGAGAAGAGAGAGAGAGAGAGAGAGAGAGAGAGAGAGAGAGAGAGAGAGAGAGAGAGAGAGAGAGAGACAGACAGACAGACAGACAGACAGAGAGACAGAGAGAGAGAGGGAAATTAAGAGAGAGAGAGAGAGAGAGAGAGAGAGAGAGGGGAGATTAAGATAGAGAGAGAGAGGGAAATTAAGAGAGAGAAATCAAAAGAGAGAGAGAAGACAGACAGAGAGAGAGAGCGAGAG